CCCCAAAACCCCAAAACCCCATTGGGCAAAGGATTGAATATATTGCAGGGAATTCAAGATTTATTTAATAAGACTAAAGTCATCATTAAATCTAGTAATTGACAAAAAGAAATCAAGTAGAAGAAACATCATAAGAAAAAATCTCACAAATCTCATAAAAAATCAGAGGAAATTGATTAAGTATAAATGAAATAGCAGGCAAAAAAGTTACCACCGAATAAGCTTTCGGGGTTTCTACCACTGCTAAAGAACTATAACTTGACTGTGCTTGTACTCAGCTTCTTAAAACGATCAAAACTTCTCAGATAAATTTCAAGAGTCTGCAGAGGAGCGAGAGCCATTATATTCAGTTCTCTTATCTGGTCTAGATTTATAGTTGACACACATATCTCTCCATTGATTCCTAATTTTAAAAGCTTGAATAGGTTCTTCTAAGAGAAGCTAAAGGATTATGAGTACTTGCAAGTGCTTGATATGAGTAATGTCATTATTAAGAAGCCAGACAAAGTGCACAGAGATTTCTTTGCCAAAACTATGAAACTCTTATCTAAATCTCTGCTTGAGTTTTATCACCCTAAGTGGCTACCTTGCAATGAATACATTAAACCTCTGATTGATTTAAAGTTCAGTAAACTCAAGATACTTCACTTGCCTAAACTCTATACTTGTGGTGACACTACTAACTATATATAAAATCTGAGTAAGACTTGTCCTAGACTGCAGCAGGTATCCTTTATCATAGATGAATAGATAGAATCTTTGCCAATCGATAGTCTTTTTTAAAAGAGCGAATTTCTCACAGAATTAGTGATTAAGTTTGACTTGCCCAGATACCTACTAGAAACTGGCTCAGAATCTAGATTACCCACTCCTCGTGATATGAGGATGATAAACACTAGCACATATTAGAAACTGAGCCACTGTACATGAGTTGGATTGATTAATATCTGCTTTTCACAGATGCCATCAATCTCGAACACTTAGAGATAAAAAGGAGACTTAAGTTTAGAACGATTGCTTCAAAGTAGAGCTAGCTCTTCAAGAGGCTCTAGGATTCGCATCACTACCCATTAGGGCTTAAGGGAAGGCTTAAAATCTCTAACCTTAAAACTCTTATAATAGAGGAGTACTTTAGCATATATCTTATCATAGATCTAGTCTAGATTAACAGATAACTGAAACATCTGAGATTGAAAAGGAAGTCTTTTGATTAGTAGCTTATTCTCTCAGACACTTTATTCTTGGAAATGATTGATGTGAAGCTTAACTAGAAGGCTACTCTAGTCTTAGGTGAAAATCTAAGTCTGACTTAAGTAAACCTAAACTGTCAGATAGAGATGAATAATCACTTGCCAAAGTTCACTGAGATCATCTTTAAGGCAGGATATAGACCATCTTTGAGTGAATGTGAGCAGATTAGCAAATATTCCATTAATATTCAGAAGATTATCTGCCAGAAAAGACAAATAGAAGATACTGATGTGGCTAATCCAATGAGAGCTAATCTCAACAAAAAGGATAATGAATTCGCTCTCTTACAACTGATAGGCATGATCAACGGAAACACATCAATCAGTAAGCTTAATGAGTTTGAGTTTCACAACTCTTAGACTAGCATATTATCAGTTTAGGACAATTTATAGAATCTAAAGTTGCATAAATGCAGTGGGCTCTAATAATTACATTTGAACAATGCTACAAAACTTGAGAGTATGTATATATATGCTCCTCAACTAGAGATTGTCCAATTATCCTAGCCAAGTCACTATTAAAAATTGACTACAGTATAGATTCAAACTCACCAAAGCAATTAAGTAGGGAATTTAGGGCAAATTTTAAGTCTAAAAGCATTAAGAGTCCTTACTTACTAATGCAATTTTTACTAGAAATCAGCTATAAAGAAGTAAATGCGTTTAACTATAGAGTCCTAAAGTCTTGAAGTGATCAGACTCTTGCATACTGGCGATCAGTAATCTAATGTGACTCAAATCAGCTTCATCAACAGTCCTAAGCTAACCGAGATATGCTTGGAAAAGTTTGGACTATTAAAGCAAGTGAAAACAGACTTAACTACATGCAATATTAAGAACCTATTCCTGAGATATTTGTCTGGCTACTTTAGAAAACTGCTGCTTTACTCCTCATTTCATTTGCGAAACTTCGAGTTATTCTTATAGTCTCATTTGGAACTCTCCCAAATAGTGAACTCAGATGAGAACTACTATGACTTCAAGTTCTGCGACTCTGAGAACATCCACCGCTCTGAGTAAAAAGCGCATAGTCCTAGTGATAATCTGAAGTACTTCAAGTATCTGATGAACTTTCAATCTGGATTCCCAACTAAGGCAGGCATGAAGTGGAAAAGCGGGCAATCTCAGATATACTTCAGAAACTAAAACCAGGGAAAGGAAAGATCAACTGACTTAACCAAGAAGCTTTTTCCCTTTTTATATAAGATTATGCAGGAAGATTTGTATCAGAATGGCTATGGAATACCAGTTGAGAGAGATGCTTCTGATAAATTTGAAAGCAAGAGGGGCACTCTGTTTCAGAAGAAGAGCTACAAGCAGTATATGAATGTGAAGGAAAGCATCAAAGAGAAGGAGGTGTTCCCCAGAGAGGGAGTGGATACTTTTGATTATGAGGCGCAGCTGTATTTAAATTAATAGCAAGAACTAGAAAAATAAATGCACATTGATTGACTCAAGTTTATTTATTTATGTGATGTAAATTGTATTAAATAATAGTTGGTAAATTAAATTAAAATTATAAATAAATTATAAATTTAAAGAAACATGGGGTTTTGGGGTTTTGGGG